AATTAAAAAAAATTCACAACATGAGGCTCGCCTGGTTCTCCCTAGTTTTGTCGGAGATGGAGATGGAATGGAAGCACTCAGCAGCCTGACTGTCGTCCTCATCGAGCTGCCCCTGCAATGACGAGGATTTTAGATGACGAGGGAGATCCGACATGGCACAAAAAAAAAAACCTGTGGCTAGCTGTTGTTCCGGCCGGTTGATGCCGGACACTCCGATCTTACGCAGTGCAGGTGCAGCAGGGTAAGGTTCTCAGTCGAGCTCATCCAGAACGCCCTCGCTCATCGCCTGTGGACCCGCGCTCGTGCTGACGTTAACAACACCCATCGAGTGCATCAAGCTGGAAAGCTTTCCCAGGCCATGTTTAGTTCAGGGTTAGGAATCAGTATTTAACACTGTAGTACTTTCGTTTGTATTTGACAATTATTGTCCAATCATGGCCTAACTAGGCTCAAAAAATTCGTCTCGTAATTTACAATCAAACTGTATAATTAGTTTTTTTTATCTACATTTAATACTCCATGCATGTGTCCAAAGATTTAATGTGATGGAGAGAGAGTGAAAAAACTTGGAATCTAAACACGGCCCCAATCCTTCTAGCTTATAGGTACCGTACACGCCATTAATTACGAGAGAGGCGCCATCAAGTCTTTCAAACATGCCGCCGTTGTTGCTATCATCCGATAGATTGTGGTCCTTGTCTCGTGAGAGGTGAGAAAGAAGAATCTGAAGTCGACAATGGGGGTTGTTGTACTGTGGTCATTTTCGTCGAGATCATCACCGTCTTTGTCCTGCTCCAGAGAGATCAGAGTGCAATGACCTAGTAGGCAATTTGGGTGGTTTCTCATGATCTCCGTCAGTGCCGGTCTCGAGATTTTTGTGTCTACTACTAGAACCAAATTTAAAATAGAGGCACCTTATAATATAACTAAAAACTTAAGCATCAATTAATACATATTATATATCAATAAAAAGGATTAAAAACTTCCTTGGGGGTTTGGTTGCCAAGGAAACAAAGATGAGGTCTGATTTTTTTAACAACGCAAGAAAATGCAATACCCCAAGGACATATATTTTCATGATTACCGATGAATAAGCATTTTGGTAGCACTCAAAAATATGGAATTACTTTGGCGGTTGCACTCAACAATATGTATTTTCTTGATGGTTTCATACAACCCCAAGGTAATAATGATAAATCGTCAGGGGTTCAATTTTGCCCCTCAAAGAAACTGCTGGCCCCCAAAGATATTCTATTTTCTGGTAGTGCCAGAACATATATACTCATGAGGCTTGATCTCGGAGAGCAGCCATGCTCTTGACTGTCATCATGTGATGTTTGTGTTTTAATTATTTTATTTGTGTTTTAATTATTTTATTTTCTCTACTACAGAAAGCATCTAAAATAGGTTTTCAGAGACACATGTTCTGCTTGCCTTTATCTATGTGTCTCTAGAAATCAATAATTTGTAAAGGCATGCCAAAACCTAGTAGCCGCCCCTAAAGATGGTTTATGTAGTAGTGTTTACTTTTGTTTATGTAATACCATTAAGAAGTGGACTGGTACAATAACATGGGGCGTATGCAATAAAAAATTGGTTAACAGCCACCAGCGTTTATCTATTAATACGTTGGGTGGATGGTGAGCATACACCAACTTAATTTCCCAGGATCAAGCTAGGTGAGATCGGGACGGAGGCCGAAAAGCATGATCCCCATGAGGCAGTGGACATCGTCCATTGCTGCACACCCACACGTCGATTTTCTCCGGCTGGTGGCTGAGCCAAGGCCTCTGACCTTCAGGTTCAGGCACCTAAATGCTCCAAGTCCACGACCAGGTGTGTGATCGACCAATTATTATAGAAACAAAGATGCATGCCATGCCGGCCATTAGTTGTCCACTCATTAATTAGCTTCTCTATATGGATGTTTTATTCTCGTCTACTTGCTCTGTCAAGTGGTGCATGGTAGAGTATAGTCGAATACCATGATATATAACTAGTTTCTATGTTCTAAATTGTAAGCCGTTGTAACTTTTCTAGATATATAATATGTATGAATATTTACTATGTATATCTAGGATGACTAAAAATTTGGAACGGAGGGAGTACATACCAACTAGTCATGTCATGTAATTTGTTGTCACTTTGAGAAATCAAGAAATTCTTGTATGTATTCTCCATTTTGAGGAAATCTAAAACCCTGCACTTCCTAAACATTGGGTATCAAGCTCAAACTACTAATATCCCTCGATTTCAAATTACAAAATGTTTTAGCTTTTTTAGATACATTGTTGTTGATATATGTCTAGACATAGTCAGTAGAACACACAATCACTGCTGGTTATGGTGGAGTCAAGTGATAAGTATATCATTGCCGGTTCGTGGCTTCAACCAACAGAGTTAGAGCCACGTAAAGCGGCGATGATAGCTTGTTTTGCAAAAAAAAAAAACACAGCTTTTTGTATGACATCCGATTAAGATAAACTTTATATCAAAATGGTAATGTTTAAAGAGATCTAAAACTTTATAGTTGATAACTTTTTGATCTTAGATGGCTTACAGGTCAAAATATGCAATATAAATTCTAAGATGAGATTTGATATGATTAACTATGTCAAATGGAGATGAAGTCAACATCAAAGTTGTAGCACTCGACGAAATCTACAACTTTACAGTTAACAACATTTTTATTTGAGATAATTTGAAGTGTCAAATATACAATATAGGGTTTAAAATTGTGTAGTTAAATGAACAGCACCAACTGTATGGTCACATGTGTTGCGTAGCTCAGTTGGTATGTGCGCCTGAGGGGATGTTAACGTTGAGGTCTCGAGCTTGAAACCTGAGAAACACATATTTTCAGATGTGATAGGGGTTCCCACGGGGCAGTGATTATAAAATCTAGTGTAGTAAGTGTATATCTAAGTACATAGTAAAAGCTATGTATCTAGGAAAGCCAAAATGCCTTATAATTTGGAATGGTGGGAGTACCGTCTAGATGCAACAATAGTCTATATGGGATATTCTAGTAATTATACTATTCTATAAGGATCACTACTGATGGCCTCCCTCAATATCACATCACACCGCTTGGCTTACTAATTTTTTTATTTGAGTAAAGTTCATTGGGGTCGTCAAATTTGTTTGCCTATGTCATCTTGGTACCTAAAATCATAGATTCATAGGTTATTTGTTCAGGCCCTCAAACTTGTTCTATTATATCATCTCGGTCCCTAAACTCTTAAATTGCTTGTTTAGATCCCCAAACTTGTTCAAATGTGTAGTCTCTGTCCCTAAACTCACAAATAATCTGTTTAGATCCTCAACCTACGTTCTCATCTTAGAACTCGTACAAATGTGTCTAGGCCCATGCCCATATGCTGATGTGGTATGCTGACATGTAGAGCCTGCATGTCAACTCTATTTTCCTTCTTCGTCCTCTCTATAAACTTAAAATACATATTTGGGACTCTAAACAATTTTAATAAATAACTTTTCAACTATAAAGTGATAGATTGTATTGATAACTACAACTTTCCCATAGACCATATGTCAAGGTTGTTTGATAATTTTAAATTTCAAAACCAGTGGACTTAAAAAAATATTTTGGAACTCTAAACAATTTTAAATTAGAAACATCTCAACTACAAAGTTGTAGATCGCATGGATGGCTACAAATTATGAATTAATTTTTGATGCAACTATTTTTAGAGAAAGGACTCTCAAGATGTCCGTCTCTATTAATCGATTTTTAGATGCAATTCTAGAAACAGGTCTCTTAAGATGTCCGACTTATCTATTAATCGATTTTAGAGACACCCATAGAATAGCCGCTCTTAATAGTGATTTTCAGAGATGAGGATCTTAAGATGTCCTCAGAATGGCCGCCTCTGCTAATAGTGATTTTCAGAGACAAGCATCTTAAGATGTCCACCTCTGAACATCGATTTATGAGACAGGCGTCCTAATGTCCTTGGGATGCCCGTCTTTGTAAATGATTGAGGTAGTGGGCGCTGTCTCCTAAAATCTTTTTTGTGGTAGTGGTACGTGAGAAGAGCTGCAAACCACGTCAAGCTTTCTTTGTAGTTGGATCCTGGATTGTTAGGCAGTTTGAGTTGCATGTTGAGTCTATGATTCTTAAGGCATAATGGGTCTCATTCTTGTTTCTTTTTCACCTTATTTTTTGTTTTGCTGTGTGTAACTAGCTGAGTACATCGTTTGAGTGGAGAGGTCAGACAATATGTCACTCGAAACCATGCTTCCTTTTAAAACAATTCACACTTTTTTTACCATGTCTTATTATTATAGGTTGCCTCATGAAGCCCATAAAGGTTGAAGCATTGAAATCAGTTATTAATCGTGATGTACTTGTCCCTGACATATGACACAAGGTGAACATACTCCATCCGTCCCACATTAGTTGACATTTTAGAATCTCTCACAGAAACTAACGCTGAAGCCAAAAAAACCAAAATGCCACTTAAGAAATAGAGATAGAGATGTAGTAGGGAAAAGAGAAATTAAAGATGTATTGGAAAAAGAGAAAGGTGCATTGGGAAGTGAAAATATCAAATATCTTGGGACAAAATTTGAATGCTATAAAATTAAGGTCATCTATTTTGAGACGACGGGAGTATATTACTCCCAGTTCTCGGAAATATAAGACCTGTCTATTCATTCAAAAGGAGCTTTTGACCAACAATTAATCTAATAATATAAGGATATGGTCTTTTTGGTTCACATTTATCTATATGTGGTTTGTTGTGATTATAATTGTGTAACTATGTTTGTAACTCTCAAAAAAATTGTGTAACTATGTTTCAGCATAAAAGTTGGAGAACTTTTAGCCCATAATTATCTCACTTCTGGAGGGTTAAAGTGCCTGTTATGTTTTGGAATCAGGGAGTATAATTATTTTTTCAAAGTACGTACCTATATGCAGCAACGTGGAAAAACACCACTCTGACATATATATTTGAATGCCTAACTGAACTATCAACATGTTTGGAATCTTTCTAAAGGATGAACAAAGTGGCATGCCCGAAATGATTGATGCAATCGGAACAGCCCTTCGATCAATGGGCGACGGCGAGATCAGCATTTCAGCATATGACACAGCATGGGTTGCGCTTGTGAAGAGCTTGAATGGAGATAACACACCGCAGTTCCCCTCGTGCATTGATTGGATTGCTCGGAATCAGCTGCTAGATGGATCATGGGGTGATGACTTCTTCCTTGTCCAAGACCGGATTATCAATACCCTTGCCTGCATCATCGCACTGAAATCATGGAAAGTCCACGACGATGCATGCAAGAAAGGCACTCTCTGCACACCGACTATATATAATACATTCGGGCACCTAATTTAGAACACCAAATAGATCAACAATGCATTGCTTAAATGGCACAAAAATGTTTAACGTTTTCTTTTTCAAAGCATGTTTTTCAATAAGGATCCAACAATATCATACTTTCTGCATATCATACTCCCTCCGTTCTTTTTTATATGTCATATTAGCTTTGTCCTAAGTTAAACATTATTATCTTTGACCAACTATTTTAAAAAATTCTTATAGTTTCACAACATATGAATTATATATTATGATAGTATTTCTCATAGTGAATCTAAAAACATAAATTTTATAACATGAATGTGTATAATTTTTTTGAAACCAATGGTCAAAAATACAAATGTTTGATTTAGGACAAAGCTAATACGATATCTAATAAAATACGGAGGGAATGTAAAACATTTTTTGTGTGATGAATGGCATCATATAACACTTATATTCTTAATGAATGTCGAAATGTGTGGGCGTCTTATATTTTGAAACAAGGGAGTTAGTTGTATGATATCACAGTCTTGGGGTTGTTAACAAGCTTATCACTGTCAAATGTACAGATTAATAAACATAATCGATTAACTAAGTAAACTCAACACGATTACCTTAAGTAATAAGCGATCTTGGATTCTTTATAGTGAACATCCTTCTGCATCTTGATGGCATGAATTTGACTTGTTGTAGGTTTGTCATTCATCTCTGAAAATATGTGGAGGTTAACCAAGGATGATGATAATTGGACGCTATGTGGCTTTGAGATTATCTTCCCTATGTTGCTGGAGAAGGCCAAGAACCTAGGTGTGAACATACCGCTTGATGACCCCACGTTGGAAGCAATATATGCCAAAAGAGAACTCAAGTTCACTAAGTAAATCTTTGTTCTTTTCTTAATGTCATTTTGCACATGAACACATGTATTTAGGTGAGCTATAGATTGTTCCTACAATAATGCCTCTATTAAAGCCATACTCATTAAATGCCTCTGTTAGAAACCTCTTGGAATTAGGGAAACTCATTAACTCCCTAGTAATTCCAACTTTGGCAGCTTAAAGAAGTCAATAATTAACCGTACTCTTTCAAGGGATAAGGCGAGGGGCATGCAATTATTTTTTCTTCCCTCTTATTTTTTGAATGAACAAATTATTAATTATAACAAAGTTCTATATTATTACATCCTAATATGCTTTAAGGAAAACCAACGCAAAATACAAATTCCACACACAAGGAGAGGCTAGCTATATGGCTATCTAAATGTTGACTAGCACATCATGATTTTACAGCACTTAATTGAGTGTGAAAGAAAAGGGTGATTATATGTATGCATCTATATTCAGCGCACACTTCCATGTTGACATACAGTTCCTTTATCTAAATAAAAGATATAAAAAGGTTTGACCCATCCCCAACCGAATTTTTCAAAAAGATATTAGTAATTTGAACACTGAATGGGTCAATTTCAATTGAAAAAGGGCTCTATATATATTTTGCCCACCTTGTCTTTAACTTTCATGGGTATATTCATTATCAGTGTCATGTCCTCATCATTTGGGACATGGAAATATGACACGGTTGAAATCCTTAAGCCACCTCAACTCTAGAAATCCATGTTCATGACGTGGAATTTCTTATGACATCCATGAGAACAACGAAGACACTCATATGAGACATCTTCAAAATGGGTCTCAACATGGCTTGTGCCATCTACAGCAAATTAATTTATCACTATGCTGGTTACATAATAATTTCCTTGTTTATCTCTGTAGGATTCCGAGAGATGCACTCCATGTTGTACCAACAACTTTCCTTCTAAGCATAGAAGGGATGCCAGGTTTGGACTGGAAAAGGCTATGTAAGCTCCAGTGTCCAGACGGCTCCTTCATGTCTTCACCTGCTCCCACGGCTTATGCTCTAATGCAGACTGGGGACCCTAAGTGCTTTGAGTTCCTTGATAGAGTGGTCAGCAAGTTTAACGGAAGCGGTACGAAGAGTAATAAAATGATTACATGAAACTACTTCCTTTGTTCTTTTACCTGCTGTTAATTTTTGTAGCTTTCAACGAGGTGTTTTGACGTTATGATAATTTGTGGAATTTACTAAGAAAGATAACTACATATCACTACAACATTTAGGGTTCATTGTACTCTGCTAGTCACAAATAAGTGATATTTTAGGATTGTGCTAAAGCAAGCCCTTTTATCTGTGGTCACCAAAAGCTAGAAAACAGGATACATTTTTAATATAGGATTAGTATATATTAGTAGATTTGTCATGACAAATAGTTTCACAATATATAATTTCATTGATTATAAATAATATGGTTTTACACAGATATTGTTGGTCAAATTAAGGTCAACAAAGTTTTAGTTCAAACAATCCTAGCTAAAACGATACTCTTCTTTGTGCCCAGAGAAGCATTTTCCAAGATGATCCAAATCAATCGTGCATCATTTGTACTTCCTTTTCAGTACCTTTTGTTTACCCTATTGAGATGTTCGAGCGCTTATGGGCTGTCGACCGATTGGAGAGGTTGGGCATATCACGTTATTTCAAGAGTGAAATTAAGGACTACTTAGATTACATTTACAGGTAACTATATTAGTTCACTGCCCATACATTTTATATTCAGTGTATCTGATTGTCGATAATAGTGACCCCCCGGATGTCATCAATGAGGACATACATGTTAAATACAACAGTTATATAACTATATTCTACAGCCTGCCATAAAATAGCTATGCCATCTACTATCAACAAGAAGTATCAATTTACTATAATCTGCATATGGATGTATGATGTCATGTTTTACTATTGAAACATTTAATTACCATCGACACGTAGTAGATCAGTGGTGAAGTTATATACGAAATTCAGGTGCCCATTGAAATAGCTATTTTGTGACTAGTCACAGAATAATGACAAACCTAGCTATGTTTTTATATATACCCGGCACCATATATTTACAGATGGGGCAGTAGATGCTACTCCCTCCATTCCGGTATACCCGGCGTACAACGCCATATACCAGATACCAAGAAGGTTATGGAGAGATACGGGCGTGCCGTGCTTTGCTGCGCTGCGATTGGCATCGCGCCGCCGGCCGCTAAATCATATATTTTTTATTCACAAAGGGCACGGACGTGAGGAACGGAGTACTAGTGCAGCCACGGTTCAGCTGCATGCGCAACATGCGTCGCTTCGAGTCTCGAGAGTAGTCCGGAGTAATGACTATAGGCATACGCCTTGGTACTACTTCCTGCCTGCTATTTTGGCCGATTTAAAAAACGCTTGTACGCCGGGTAAACTGGAATAGCGGGAGTACGTATTCATCCGGAGTACATTCTTCTTAACATGACAGGAACTGGACTGAGGAAGGCTTGGCTTTTACGAAGGGCTGCCTAGTGAAGGACATTGATGACACGGCCATGGGTTTCCGCCTTCTGCGACTGCATGGCTACCATGTCTCTCCTTGTAAGTGTTGCTCCTGTGTCTGCGCTAAGTAGGAGTACTAGAAGATGGTGAATAATATAAGAACCGTGCGTTTGAAATTTGAATCTAAATATATATGCATGAAGGTGTCTTCAAGCAGTTTGAGAATGACGACGGCCAGTTCGTGTGCTACGCAAGGCAGTCGAACCAGTCAGTTACCGCGATGTACAACCTGTTCCGTGCTGCTAACCAGACCTCGTTGCCTGACGATGATCACATCCTCCGGCGCGCCAAGAGCTACACCCGTGGGTTCCTCCGGGAGAGGCGAGCCACCGACCAGCTAAACGACAAGTGGATCATCTCTGAGGGTCTGCCTGGCGAGGTAAGTCAGAAAGTTCAGTCCATTGGCACTAGTCAACAGACAACGTACGCATGACTATAACTATCTATGCACTATACACACTTAATTGGTCGAATCCCTTCCTGCCAGGTCGGCTATGGTCTGGATTTCCCTTGGGAAACTAGTATGCCACGCATTGAAACGAGAATGTACCTTGAGCAATACGGTGGAAGCGCTGACGTGGGGATTGGGAAGGTCCTCTATAGGTATACTCTTTTATTTAGAAAGGTCGGCAAAAGCTTTGTCGCAAAATTTATTAGAAGAAGGAAAAACAAAGGCATGTGCCGGCTAGTTTTTCGAGTGGGAACTGGAAAAAAAAAAAAAAAAAAACATAACAAAACAACTTCATAACAATGACTAAAATCACCTAACGAACTCCATACCACTACACCCTCAGGTTACACAAGGCCAACTTGGTCTAAACGGAAAACAACATACCAGGAATACATCATAAACCACAACCAACATGTCAAAGAAAATAATTAAAGAAAATGCATGTACCTCTAGTTGCATTACCCATGATATGCGGCGACGCTGCTAGGCACTAGCTTAACTCCCCCAGCTGTCCCCTACAGAACGAACCTCTTCAGCAACGATATGTACCTCAAGGTGGCGAAAGCTGATTTCAGAAAATTTCAGAGACTATGCCGACTAGAGTGGCACAGCCTGAAAAGGTATAGTACGGACAATTCCTCCTCTCCTTGTTGAGCACTGGATGTTTGACTTGACAATCAAAAGGTTCAGAGTTACGTACAGTTATGGGATTTGATTTGAGGTTGTCATTACACGCAGGTGGTGTGGCAAGAACAATCTTGAAATGTACGGCGTGACTCGGCAGAGCGCGCTGAGAGCTTACTTCCTGGCCGCGGCCAGCAACTTCGAACCGAGCCGAGCAGCAGAGCGCCTGGCATGGGCGCGCACAGCGGTGCTCGCCGAGGCCATCTCCGGGTGCTTGCTGATGAGCAGCAACACTCACGACGATCGGACGATGACGGGCGAATGGCTCGTCGGTGAATTCGTCAACAGCGACGATGACAACCCGGCAAGGTCTGTCGCCACTCTCTTGTGCCTTATTAATTGGCTCCTAGCTCAATTCATTGCGTTTCCAAAATCGGTTCACCGCGTTACCGGCTTACCGCTGGTGGTGCAACTTGTGTGGGTGCAGTGGAAGAGGGAAGAAGAATTCACGAGTTACTAGCAGCCTCGGCTATGCTCTTCGTGACCTTATTGACATCCATGCGTCCGGCAACGCTTCTGTCGCTGACTGTCTTCGTGGAGCTGTAAAAAATTGACCCTCATTCAGCCATATATACTCTCTTCAAATACGACATCACAGAGTGGATTAATCTGTTTTGATGCATGGTCACAGTGGAAGGAGTGGTTCATGGCATGGACTAAAACGGAGAGGGAAGGACCACGCGCAGCGGATACAGCAATGTTGCTAGTTCGCACAGTCGAGATTTGTTCTGGAAGGCACCACTCCACCGAACAGGACATGAAGCTTCTACCAGATTATTCGAAGCTCGAACAGCTTACCAGATCCATCTGCTGCAGACTGGCGACTGAAGCTCCTGCTCTGGTACGGGCATGCATCGTCGCAAAAGTATTTACATACATGCATGCATCCTCTTTGTTTTTTTATAGAGAAATTGAATCTGGCTTCACCCCTTAGAACTAAGGGAATCAGATCACTTACTACAGAAGATTAAACTAACATAAAACATGTCTAAACAAAACTCAACTCTAACATTATTTAGCTAAACAAATGAAGGAAAGAAATGTATAGTTGCCAGTTCTAGGTCCCAGCACATTCTGTGAATATTTTCTTTGTTATCATCACACAACTATAGCTGTACCCAATGTCATAACGAGTGCGTTCCCATCAACAAGACTTGTAAAAAAGTTTATGTTAGCTTTTTCAAAATCAACTTTATTCCTTGTAAACCAATTTTTCACCACATCCTTGTTTGTACCATCTATGAAAAAGGTCAATAACATCCAAAGATAGTCTTAAGCCTAAAACAATAATACCGCACGCCCTCATAAAGGTAGTCAAAAAAACAAGTGTTGGATTGTTTCGTTCTTGCAATAGAAAAGGCACAAGATATATTTCGGTTCCAATTTTTCTTTGCTAACTTATCCTTGGTAAAAGTTACCCACCGTTTTAGGAACCATAGAAATATATTTATTTTAGAGGCTGCCTCACGCGCTAAACATCCATAGCAACTTTGATCCCTGTTGTGACAAGATGTCGATACATGGAATTTACTATGAATGAACCATTAGTTTTCAAAAGCCAAAAGAATGTACATCTTTCATCATAAAAATTAATGTCCACAACCTTTACTCCAAGCCTATTCCACTCCAGTAGTAATGCCCTTCAAAACGTAACATTAAGACGAACCATACATAGAGTCTATGCAACCATAGCATGCTTTTGATGAACAATATTAAAAAGGATTGGATAACATTTTAAGCGGATGTCTGCTAAGCCAAGTATCATCCTAGAATCTGATTTGGGAACCATCATCCAATTTGGGAACCAGGCATCCTCTTTGTAGTGCTGTATGATGTTTGATAATTATTGCATTGGCTTACCGAATCAAACGTTGGATGATCAACCAGAATGGAGAAAACATGGACAAGATTGATGATCTGGACAGGATGGTTGGATTCGAGATGCAAGAACTGGCTCAATGTGTTTTCCAGAGCTGCAGCTCCATCAACATAGAGACACGGCAGACGTTTCTCCATGTGACCAAGAGTTACTACTATGTCGCCCTCTGCTCACATGAAACAATTGAACATCACATCTCCAAGGTCATATTTGAGGATGTAGTTTAGCAATAATATGTAAGTCCCAATTCTTCTGTACTCCCTGCATTCCAAATTCTAAGGAGGGTCAAAGAATCTCAAGCTTGACATGGCTCCTCTCTTTCAGTTGCAGCAATCTAAATGGATTCCTGTTCAGTTCAGTAGCGCAGAAAAGTCTCAAGCTCCATGCATGGGATCCCTGGATTGAACGGATCTTATCACTACTGCCGAGTGATTCTTGCTGGGACATCAAGGTCCATAACACTACTCCAGCATTTCCATGTCAATATTGTCACAGGATTCTGTCATCCGTGGCCTTCTTCGCCTAGTATTTGTGTACGTTGGGAAGGATGCCCAAAATTTCTGTTAAACAAATACCAAAGTAACCGTTGCCTTGTGAGAGAAAAGGTCGAAGAATCACTGCATCTGATGCTCAATGCTCAGCGAAATGAAAATTGTATGTCCTCCGATCCAGAATTGTTGTTCCCTTCGTCTCTGAAACACAACCATGTACGGAGACTGAGGCTTTGCTTGCACACCTCCCTCCCCATGGCAATCCCAATCCAGGTGAGCATACTTGCGGCCCTGCCGGAACTATGGAAGCAAGTTTGTTGGGCCGGCAGTGGCATCACAGCTTGGTGGTGATGATTGGTGAAGCGTTGGAGTGGATAGACATAAAAAGTGGATATTACCTCCCACAAATTTCACGAAAGTCCGTTTTTCCTCCCTGAACTCGAAAACCAGGCAAAACACCTCTCTCAACTTTTAAAACCATTCACCTTACCTCCATGGCCCTGCTATAAACAGTTTTGAAGGCGGTTGTCTTTTTTTTTATATTTTGGCTGAATCTTTGAAAAATCATAATAAATCACAGAAAAATCATAAAATGGAAAATCCAATTTTTTTAGACTCCACATGGTATGTTTTAGTACAAAGTTTTTGCTGTGGCTTTAGATCTATGCTTATCTATAATTAACTGAAATAATTCATAGCTACAGTTTCTATGGTATAATTGTGATGAAATTTTTATGGTGACCTAATTATTGTATGATTAAACTGTAGTAAAAATTTCATATTCATTAGATCATGTATAGCTTAGTTATAAATTTATTTATATTTAACGAGCATGAACCTAAATAAAATCAGCCGGTTCTCCACGGATCGGACGGGCCACGGAAGAATGTGCCGGAGGAGCAGTCAGCGTTGTACGCAGCTGCCACTCCCTCGGCAAGAACGGATTGGTGACAAGTGGGTGAGCTCGTCTGATGTCCTAGCTCGTATACTAGCAGTCAGTAGTGGCGCAGCCTGACGCGGAATCCCTGTAAGAAGAGTTATCAAGCACAAGGGAAAAGGCGACGCAAGTCAAAACCTGTATAAACAGCTTCAACGACTCAAGAACACTTTCTTCTTTTCAATAGGTAAAAGCACACCACCTTCTCATGACAAAGCTTAAGAAAAGATATTCACACTTCGTCTTTGATTTACTTTTCCTTAGTTTAGTAGCATCTCCTCTTTCAACTGAAACCTAACATGACCATTGATTCCGCCTCCATTGCTGGAATGGATAACGATGGATCTTTAGCTAGCTCATAGGCAGAGGAAAGGTATAGTCTCGTTAACAGATAAGGGGACGGAATGGGATCAATCAATCCATGATACCGTGAGTCCACGACACAGAGGATGTGCGCACCGGACATAATAGATCTGTTGCCACTTGCCAGCGACTGGGAAAGCATACACGGAGCAGAGATTTGCAACAAACTTCCAGTTCATGCAGCGTTTGGTCGTCCATGCTGAATATATATAGTACTCAAGTCTAGAACAACCATATACCAATGTTCAGGTTCTGGGTAGGGATCTGCTGCTCCTGTACAGGAAGGTTCTGTATAGGTTCCTCCACATCTAAATTCTCCGGAAGTTCAATGTCATGAGCCCCAACTAGTTGGTCAAGAGGTATCTTTTCATCCCAATTGATTTCAGGTAGTTCTTGATCACGAGCTAAGGGTTGGGGGAGAGCAAAAGCTTGCTGATTAGGAAGCTCATCTTCAATCTGCATCAAGTTTTCCTCTTCAGGCGATAGAGATGGGATGACATTGATTTGGGGGTTCCGCTGGCGCCCCAACCCTCTCTCTCTCTCCGCGTGGGCACGACCCGGCATCCGGGGGCGGGATGAGCGGTTGAGGATGATGATGGTGCAGAGAGCCATGCCGCAGCAGGCAGCGTCGGCGATGCCGCCTCAAGTACCACATGCAGTGGGGAAGGCGCTGGCCTAGCTCATCAAGCTCGACCATGGGGAGCTCCACCGCACCGCCCGAACTTGTCACGCCATCGCGGGTGCCTCCATCGGTCTGTCGTGGCTGCCTCCACCGCGCTAGTTTGTCATGCCACCCGCCCAGACTCATCCTGCTTGCCGCGGGTGCTTCCACCACACCAGATTGCCGCGCGCTCCTGTCTAGATTCACCCAAGCAGCAACGAGATGTTGCGTTGGAAGCGCATCTTGCAAATGTATGTTTCAAGTGTGGCATATGTTTCAGAGTTATGTTGCAAGTGTTTTATATCGGTGTTGAAAAAGTAGATCAGGATGCTACACATGTTGCAATGACTATACATGTACGTTGCAAGTGTTTGTTCAACATGTTTCATCTGTTTTCAGACACATGTTGCAAGTGTTTCATCTGAATATTGCATTAGCGGATCTGGATGTTGCATATACATGCATGTTGCAAGCATATGTTTCAAGTGTTTCGGGTGTTTCATATATATGTTGCAAGTGTTTCATCTGATGTTGCATATGTTTTGCAATGGCTACACATGTGTTTTCCTGGTGTTCCAGACGTATGTTGCAAGTATTTTAGCTGTTTTCGCACATATATTGCAAGTGTTGTCATCTGGATGTTGGAAAAGTAGATCTGATGTTGCATATGTTGCAATGGAACCCACCTGCCGCAGCCGCCTACTGCAGCTACTGGGCGCCGCCGTGGTCACCGTGCGGGCACCTGAGGCCGGTAGACGCATTTGCGGAGCGCATCCACAGGCGGGGCAGGTGAGTGGGACTCACGTGGGCACAAGCGGTCCCCGCAGCAGAGCCGGCGCAAGCAGGCCCCAAGGTGCATTCGCGTGTGAAAGGAGCGGCGCAGGAAAGAGAGCGGCGTGGAGTGGTCCCGCTTGTGCGAGGGAATCCCGCGTACGTGTGGGCGTCCGGACGCGAGTGTAAGTACATCTGCGGAGCGCATCCACAGGCGGGGCAGGTGAGTGGGACTCATGTGGGCACAAGCGGTCCCTGAAGCAGAGCCGGCGCAAGCAGGCCCCAAGGTGCATTCGCGTGTGAAAAAGGAGCGCGAGGAAATAGAGCGGCGTGGAGTGGTCCCGCTTGTGCGAGGGAATCCCGCGTACGTGTGGACGTCCGAGTGCTAGTCCATCCATCTTGAATTTTGGTGAATGTTTTATCATATTATACATGGGGATCCTTGTTAGGTACTCGTCTGTACAGTTATTATTTTTTTAGAAAAAGTCAGTTCAATTATTAGTTTTTTTGAGCAACAGTTCAATTATTAGTTTTTCTTTTGAGCAAAAGTTCAATTATTAGTTGTATTAGCCAGTATAGGTTCAGGCCTCAAAGAAACGTGGGGGCCCAATGCGAAGGAGCAAAGCCCATCAGACTCTATACTAGGCCCTTCACGTCTGTGGGCTCGGGACCAAGAGCCGATCGATCGAGATTGGACTAGGAGAAAGACCGGCCGACCGAGCTCGCCGTGACGGCGACCGGACGACGGAATTCGGGAGCTCTGACCTTCCTCGTTCCTATCCCTACTGGCGGCTCTCTTCTACGGTTGGTCACTCCTGCTTCCTTCCCGTTCCACACACCTGAACGGAGCTCCAGTTCTTCTATCGATCGGCCCGAGGTCAGATTTTCCTCCTTTTATCCTCCATCATAGTCTTCATCTAATTATTAATTATCTTCTCTTTCTCCATTTGCGACGTCGTGCTACACCATGTTCGCTTGACTTATAAGCCGTACTTTTTAAGTCAACGAACAGTATTTTTCTCTCACAACAAATCAACCAATAGTACTTTCAGTCATGACTTATCAGCCCAGCGAACGGGGCACTGGCCGTTTGGGGCGGCCCCCTGGTTGACGCCGATGCTTGCCGGTGCCTCGACCACAAGCTGCGCTACCTGGCCAGGACTCTACGCAGCTGGTGCGCAACCTCGGTCGGGAACATCAGATTGCAGCTGGCCGCGGCTCGGGCGGTCATTTATGAGTTTGATCTCGCGCAAGAATCCAGGTTGCTGTCGCAGGGTGAGCTTGAGCTACAGCGTGAGCTGAAGGCCAAGGTGCTTGGCCTGGCATCGCTGGCGCGTTCCATGGCCAGGCAGCGCGCGCGGACAAGGCACCTCCGCGATGTGGCCGCGTGCCCCAAATACTTCCACTTACAGGCCTGCCACAGGCGCCGGAAAAACTACCCGTTCGCCATCAATCACAACGGCCAGACCTTCAGCGAGTAGGAAGCTAAGGCTGACGTAGTCTTCAACTACTACAACGCGCTGCTTGGTACTGCCTTCCACAGGCAGCACAGGATCAACCTATCGCTGCTCCAACTGCCGCGGCTCGACCTTAGCGACCAGGTCGCCCCCTTCACAGCTGAGGAAGTGGCCCGCGTCGTCCGTGAAACGCCGGGTGACATGGCCCCGGGTCCCGACGGCTTCAGTGGTGCTTTCTACAAACCAACATGGGACATTGTCGGCCCCGACGTCGTGCGCGTGTTCCAAGCCCTCTGGGTGGCTGACTTCAGAAGCTTTCACCTATTGAACGTGGCAATGATGGTGCTTCTTCACAAAACACAAGCACCAGATGGCTTGAAGGACTACAGACCCATTAGTCTAATCCACTCCGTCGGCAAGTTGTTCGCAAAAGGGCTCGCGCTCCGCCTCGCGCCACGGATGCCGGAGATTGTCAAGATCAACCAGTCAGACTTCATACGGGGACGTCGGATTCAAGAAAACTTCCGCACGGTCCAGGTCACCTGTCGATGGTTGCACGCCCGCCGCTGCCCCGCGGTGCTCCTCAGGGTCGACCTCGCAAAGGCCTTCGACTCCGTCGCTTGGCCGTTCCTGCTAGAGGTCCTTGATCACATCGGTTTCCCCTAGCGTTGGCGCGACTGGCTCTCGGCGATCCTTGCCACGGCAAGCACCAAGGTGCTGGTCAATGGTCGTCCGGGCAGACGCATCTGCCATGCGCGAGGCTTGCGGCAGGGTGACCCACTATCGCCGCTCCTTTTCGTCATCGTCATGGAGGTGCTGAATGCCCTCATCAGCGAGAGGCGGATCGTCGTCGCGTGCTCTCTCCTCTGCTGGGAGACGCCGTCAAGTACCGTGCTTCCGTCTATGCCGACGATGTACCGACGATGACGTCCAGGCTGTGCAAGCTGTGTTCCCCTGCCGGATACACGAGTTCCCCACCAAATACCTAGGGGCGCCACTGTCCCTGTCCAGACTAAGCTGCGCCGATGAACAGGCTCTCGTCGATGCCGTCGCGGCCCGGATCCCGACCTAAGGCTGGCCTTTTGACGAACGCGGGGAGAGCGACGCTCACAAAAATTACTCTCTCCGCAATCCCCATTCACGTGTCCATTTGCTGCAGCCTTTCGCCTTGGGCACTACGGGAAATTGACAGGAGACGGCGTGCCTTCCTTTGGGCAGGCACCGAATCGGTCGCCGGCGGTAAGTGCAAGGTCGCCTGGCCCATCATGTGCTCGCCGCGGGAACATGGTGGACTAGGGATGCCGGACCTCGGGGTGCTTGGCTTCGCGCTTCGCCTTCGTTGGGAATGGATACGCCGGACGCAGCCCGACGCGGCGTGGGCGCAGCTGCCTGACAGGCCGGAGCGCTCGGTGGAGCAAATGTTTAGGGCGTCGGTCACCGTTCAGGTGGGGGACGGCGCCACTGGGCGGTTCTGGACAGATGCCTGGCTGCCAGGGGACGCCATCTGCAACTTCGCCACCGCCCCCCCCTCTCTTCCGGGTGGTGGGACGCCGTCGGCGTTCGCGAACTGTCAAGGACGCCCTCGCCAACCGGCAGTGGGCGAGGGACATCTGCGGCGGTCATTTTTGCGACTACGTCACCGTTTTAGGACATGGTGGACTCCGTCGTGCTCGTGCCACACACAGCCGACCGCTTCATATGGAAATGGTCTGAGACGGGTAATTACACGGCTTCTTCGGCTTACCAAGCATTCTTCACCGGCATGACCTCACTGGTGGGCGCTAAGCACGTCTGGCGGGCTGCAACACCACCCAAGGTCAAGTTCTTCTTCTGGCTCGCGCTCCACGGACACCTGTGGACGGCCGAACGGCGGCATCGTCATGGCTTGCAGCCAGATGCAAGTGACCACCTACTGGCCTCGTGCATCTGCACGCGTAGTCCAAACCTGGACTCTCGCTTGCCTGGTTATTTAATTTCACAGTTGTAGATGTTTGTAGTTTAGAAATATATATATCTCGTATGTACATCGTCAAACATAGCTTTGTGATTACTTATTTTCATATTTCTAGAAGTTTGTAATTTAGAAATATATATGTCTCATACTTTATGAATATAGATTTTTTTTTGTAATAGCATATATTAGTATTTACATATAGATTTGAGAGAGGTGGGTAATTTAGATACAAATTTAGGGGGTTATTTTGAGTTATTTTTAATAATAATAAGTGTGGGTAATTTATATATAAATCTAAGGGGTTATTTTGAATTATCTTTCGTAATGACAGATATGGATAATTTATATGTACAATTTGGGGTTACTTTAATTATTTTTCATAATAGTAGATGTGGGTAATTTTTTTTATAAATTACATCAGATGCAATGGCTTATTATCGAAGATGATGATTAGAGCCTACCAAATTAAAGGCTAGATGTTTCTGATTATTATGAGAATTTCTATAATTTATCTTTTTTCTAACTTGTCTTGTGAAAGTTAAGTGATGCGTGTGTTGGAGCCTCTGATTAGTAAGATAAGCATTCGCGTCTTCGTGATTCATAGGGTCTGACCAGTCAGCCCCTAGCAGCTCGCACGACGACCACCTTCCGTCTCCTGCGGTTTCAAGTTCTTCTGTTTATTGGGCCAGGCCGATTTCTTTAGCAGGCCCATCTAAACGTAATTCTTCGGTTTCTTTTTCTTTCTGATCATGCATAACAACAAGTCACCATTAAGACCCCCCTTTGGTACAGATTCTGTGTGCTACGCTCCACCTGACGTCTCCCTCTCACAGAGCACTTTGGGAACCGGTGAAGCTAGTTTTTTTTAGCTCCACCAGCTCCGTGTACAGTACAGCACAGTGCGGGAGCTGGAGCACCGGGATCCCTACCAAAGGGTCCCTAATTGTCACTAACAAGCAACACCAGTGTCATCAATGAGCAGCCTTCAGCTCAGGTCAAGGCAGGAGGAACTGGAATGCTAAGTGTGAGTGGTGCGTCGTCTCCCCACGAAAATGTACTAGCCATGTTCTTGCAGCCTGTTCGGTTGGCTGGTTCGTGAAGAAGTACTGCTGGCTGATTTGTGTGAGAGAAAAATACTGTTCCAGCTGAAAATTTATGATCTTTTACGACAAGCCACAGTCAAACAAACATGCTGATGATATTTCTGAATTCACCAGCAGACTCACTCATCGATGCCTATAGGATGCGATCGGAATTTAAGCGCCGGGCACACATACACAGTCACGCACGGCTTCGTGACAGCAACTGGTTTGACACGCTGAACATGAGCAACGGGCTAGCTAGCTCTCTCCTGTTCATGGTGCTCCCCTCATGACACGTCCATTCAGCACCCTTTTCCGGACTCACTATCTGCTGCCCCACACAACAAGACCGATGGTGTAATGAGAACAAAAGGCAGCTATGCATGAAATCCAGCGTGTTCTTCGAGAACAGCAACAACAGACATGTGAGCTCCTTGTCCCATGCACCACAACAAACCCCAGCAGGGCCATATAGGGTTTGTTTGGTTGTTATCGGATTAATTCAAATCCACGTGTGTTTAGGTGAATTCAGGTGTAATTTAGTTTAAGTTCTACTCTAATCTACTTCAACATAAGTGGATTGATGCAAATTCGACTACATTCAGACAAGGCCTTAGTTGGAGCCTTACTAGGATTGGAGCCTGGTTAGACTAAGCCTGTCCCAGCAAGCCAACATGGGTTTGTTTGGTTGGGCAACTATCCCTGGCCTGGTTTCTGTAAGAGTTTGTTTGGTTGCTTCCTTTGCCTCGAATAGAATCACCACATCTTTAGCCGTGTATGGTTATGTCGATGTTTTACCACCGATAGCCTGCCACAGGGGTACCGTGGCAGTATCGTTCGGGCTTCGGCGTATGCTGAACTCGACGGTAAACGCAAGAGACAGTCGATTTATCCTGGTTCTGGCCCTCGATCGTAGATCGAGTAACGACCCTACGTCCAGTCGGCGTTTTGCCTTTTGCGTTGTATTGATTATGAAGTGTTATGTTGTACCATTGTTGTCCTCTCTTTCAGGAGCCCTGCCCTCCTTTATATTATCAGGAGGCCAGAGTCCTAGTCGGTTTACAATGAGATTTCCTAGTATAATTACTTAATAGTTCTTCTATTTAAGATTACGTGGGAAGAATCCTAGTTGAACTAGATCTTTTATCTCTTTTGCGGGGTATCCTGTAGGTCCCACATCGACAGGTTACCTCTTTGAAGCATTCTATCAAACAGGAGGTGCGCGGTGCTGCTGCTCTGTCATTTGCTGACAAGCACCTGCGTCGCGCCCATGCCCAGGCCGCACTCCTCGCCGCTCTTCTGCGCTGATCCCGTGCTCCTCTCCGCCACCCTCGCGCTGCTCCTCTCCGCCCCCCTGGCCATTCCTCTGCGCGGATCTCGTGCTCCTCTCCGCCACCCTCGTGCTGCACCTATCCGCCCCCTTGCCTCTCCTCTGCACTGATCCCATGCTATGCTCAACAGGCTGTCCGCGAGCGCCTGCGCTGAGCCTATGCTGCGGATGTCCGGCGGCGTCCCCCAATAGTCCGTACGATGGCCACCTCTGCTGCGCCATCTTCATCATCCTCTGTCACTTCACCTCCGTCGGAGATGCTGTGCAGCTCGGTGATCGGCAATGAGATCGTCCGCGGCACCGTACGGGCGCAACGCCAACTGGGGCATCACCGAGCTGCAGGCGCCAGTGGGCCACCCGTGCTTGCCCTTCCCGAACCTACTCGCCACCATCATGTCATGCCCCGTCAACGGCTCTTGCTCTGACGACCAACTCCTGCCTTTGCCGCCCCGCTAGACCCGGTGCGCTCTGGTTCACGCCGTCGACCGCGGAGGACCTCCGCGCCCACCACCAGGAAACGACTTGGAGGAGCACCGCCGCCGAAGGAGAGGAGGCCCGGGCGGTGAGGGAACTGGTGCGATGGCTGGCCAGAGCCTGGCTCTAGAAAAATGCCCAGCTCCTGCGTTTTTCTGGACCCAGGCTAAGCCCCCGTGAGTGGCTTGTTGGGGCCTGGCTTGGAAGCTTGTTCCGCCAAAAGTTGGCTTCAGAAAGCCTGGTCAGGAGATAGCCAGAAACCAAACACACCGATCCGGCCCAGTGGCTAAGGGTGAACTAAAATGTAGGGGGGCAGATTTGCCTAATTATGATTAGTACTGCTAATAATAAATACACTGGTGCTACAGTGATGATCCCGTAATTATTGGATTGGCACATGCTGGGTAGTGAGCCGCGCTAGGAGGTTGAGGCCGCAAAGGCCCACGTTAGTTGAGCGAGAAGATAAATGGTGGGCTCCTGGGATTGTAATTTTATCGAAATTTCCCGATCATATCATGCATGGGCTTGGAAAGTTCCGTACTAGCGCTATCATGCATGGGCTTGGAAAGTTCAGGCAAGAGAGGCAAGGGCCGGCCTTACAACAAGCAGCAGAGGTCAGTGGAGGTGCACAACAGAGATGTACAAGTATAGAGGTTAAAGTCCTTGTAAAACTCCCCTTCTACTTAACTTAATGATATACATGCATATGCATGGTCGCCAAAAAAAAAGCGGCACGGGTGATCCTTATATCATCTTGCATACATCAATGATGAATTGTCCGCGAAGACTCTGGCGCTGCTCCAATGCCAATAAATCCGCGTCATGGCACTAGCGGTTCAAATCAGAATTTAAACGCCGGGCCCACACACGACATGAACTGGTTTGGCACGCTGAATGTGGGCGACGACTACGAACTTCACATATCAGTATATGTATATCTAGTCCTGTTCTGTCCTTTTTGTGATCGACATTGCACGTACATCAGGATTCACATTCAGTTGACCCACACAAGACTGGTAGAATGAAACCAAAATCCACCCATTCAATCCAGCGTGTTCTTCAGGGCACAACAACACAGAGCTGAAGGAGGACCGCACGTAGTGCGGTAGGCAACGACGGCAGGTGCGCGTCCACGCCCGCGTGCGTTCGAGTCTTGACTCACGCAGGTGCTCACCGGGACTTTGTTCCCATTTTCTGCGTCTCACGCGTGATGCCGGATCGTCCGTGGCCTAGATTTCAGTGATTAAAAAGAGGATTTCATTGATCTCGAAAAGGACGCGATCTTCAGATTTTGGTGTAGTTATTGGTTTATTTGTACACGGGTGGTGTAAGTAGTATAAGTGTATTGAGTATGCGTATGACAGCTGTACTCAGATAAGAGGCATTCAAAAAAAAAAACTCAGAGCTGAAGTGACCACTAAGACAAGGATGGTTGCTTACTGGAGAGCTCTGTTAACTCTGATCCATTCGGCATTTTGTGTGCCACTAGCCCACTAGGCATTAGCTCTATACCTGTCTCAAAGCTCAGTGCTACGACTACTCAAAGACCGGAGTTTATCTTGGGATGCAGTTGAAAGAATAGAAGGTTGTAAGAACCTGGCATCCGACTCTTCTCCTTATTGTGGTAAGCTCTTCTGCTCTTGCCGCCCTTCTTTGAGTGTTGACAACTTAACATACAGCTTCCAATACTCGGGAAGAAGATAAACCATTTTATGGATAAGTTGAAGTTTGTTTTAAGTACTATTGGAAGCTTCATTCTGCACCTTGCAGAGAAAAGATTAACTTGAGTATCGTGATGATATATCGGAGGGATTTTTCCTATGACAAAATGTACATCGGAGGGATTTTTCTTGCCAAGAAATGTATCAAATGAAACTTCTGACAACTGAGGAATAAAATTGATATACTGAAGTTCATTAATCCCTCCGTTTCAAATTATGAGTCGTTCTAGATTTTCTAGGTACATGACAAAAGTATCTACACATATACTATATATGTCTAGATACATAGTTTTTATTAGGTATGTAGAAAAGAAAGAATAACTTATAATTTGGAATGGAAAGAGTACTTTTCTACTTAGATTCTTGGCATGTTGTGCTATACCATTCCATCTTGCTTCTGCCTTCCAGTCGCGAACCATGCCAGATTTCTTCTCTGAGTGTTTCTCGCCTCCATTCTTCTCTGTTTGCTAGACTCTTAAATGCAGTAACGCATCGCTCTCACTTAACAAGGGCTTCTCTTTTCAATTAACAAATGTATTCAGAGTACATTGAGCAGTGCTTCTGTTCCTGTACATAACAAAACAAACTCATGATTCTTTCAGAAAGCATGAAGCTATTGGTTTTTGCGATAATCCTGTTGGGATGCATTCCGAACTCATGTTCTGTTGCTACTGAATTCCAAGGTACGTCCTTTACATTTTTTCCAAAAAAAAAAAATCTTCATTATCTGGCCTTATACGACAATTAAAAATTTGACTCTGACTGACAAGCTGCAACTAAAGGCAATAAATTATTGTGCTATTGATTGGATTGTCTCTACTAACCAGTGAAGTACATCTTAGACATTGGGAGTTTGGGACCCACCAGTACATGTCAGCAGTGAAAATGATTGAATTAGAAACTCTAGAAGAAATCTATATGTAGCAGATAATATGCATACAAGCAGAATGGTTCAGACCACGGACCAACTGCTTGACACACTTAAGCATAGTGCCTTTGCAATTCTTCCAAGGAGGGCCATAAAAGAAACTCTACGGAGCACAGTTCATTTTCTCTTTAGTTCAGATAAACAGCTCCAGATCGGTGAAATATAATCTGGCATGCCATGTATGGTTAACTGCTACAGAATCTACAATCTAGATAGCTGTGAGACACTGAATAGATTCAATTAAGAATTCACCACTTTTTGAGAACTTCAGTCTACCTTGCGAACCCAGAAATAAGACTGTTTTGTCTGCAGTCGAAGCACTGGTTGAAATGAAGATGCAACTTGTCGATAACCGTGGTGTCCTTAGTGATTGGAAGGATAATCAAATGAGCCCCTGCTACTGGGAATGTGTTAATTGTCAAGACAACAAAGTTACACAAATGTAAGTTCAGCCTATTCATCTCAGCTTTCTAGGCTTTGAACTCTATTACTGCCAAAGAGGGTGGCCTCGATGATTGGAGGGATAATCAAATGAGCCCCTGCTACTGGGGATATGTTAATTGTCAAGACAACAAAGTCACAACAGTGTACGCAAGGGGTTATTGAGTTTGGTTCTTTAGAAATATTATATTTGCATGTGCATTGCGTCTACAGATTTTGTAACAAGTATTGGCCAAAAGCATCTCATGACACAAGGATATCATTTATTCCCTTATCTAAAATAGTTCAAGCTATTCATTTAGATTATCTGAACTTTGAGCTCAGTTCTGCTCAAGGCCTCTAGGCTAGACCAAATTCACATATGGACTTCGAATATAAGGAAATCTCCAATTATATTAGGTTTATGTGTTAAGTGATTGATCCCAGCTGCTCATAATGGATAGAGATTTCATTTGGAAGGAATATTTTTTGATTCACTCTTTCCTTGTATCACTGTTACAAGTTTGTAGTGCCATGTGCTTGTCCACATGACTATTTGCTTTTTTTTTTTTCTCATTTCTGAGCTTGCAGAATTTGGCCTCATCTATGCTAGCCATGTCTAAAGTGAATGATCCCAACTGTTTATAAGAGTCTCATTGGAATGGAACGTTTTTGTGCTTTCTTGCCTAGTTTGACTACTATAAGCTTGTGTCTTATGTTCAAATAACTATTTACTTAGGTTCTCATTGTAAGTTTGCAGAATTTTGGACTCATCTGGGTTAGAAGGAATATTATCACCCAGCATTGCAATGCTCACAACTTTACAACAGCTGTAAGTTCCCAATGTATTCTTTTGGTGTCCAAAACCTTTGGGTCTCATAAAAATGGGCCCAATCATATAGAAAGTTATGTTCCCTTTCAGAATGGATAAAATTGCCAATTGCTGAACAGTATGGTTTCAGGCAAGTGGATGGCAACAGCATTACTAGAAGGGCCTCATAAAAAGTGGCTGGCTCTTGCCTATTATTCATGTGGGTTTTCAAACCATAAATATCTAGCGACATGGATAATCACGAGTGTCCATGCCGTATGGATGTGAATATCTATGATTAATTGTATAATAAGCCGGCATCGATAGTCGGACCAAAAATTAGCAAAACTGAACGAAGGCCACCACATGATCTAAAAAATGAGCATGCCATTTCTAGGAACCAACCCATGGCCTCTACCCCTCGTGCAATCCTTCCTTATCATCTCACCTATATTCTTCATTACTAATAGAAATGTGGAGTTTTATTCCTTTAAACTTTAGTCAAATATTTGGGCATATAAATGATTTAAAATAAAAAATTGAAGGAAAAATTCACATAAAGTTTGTTCCTAACTGAGTCCATATGAAAAGTTATGTTTCAAATATATGCTCTGTGCCAGCTTGTAATATAAGGCTCATGAAATTACAAGTAGGCATCTGTAGTCATGGAGGTTTTTATGCCTGTGCGTGACAAGAGCTGTCATGGATACTCGCTTTGAATTCTAAGCCGGTGGACAACACTTGGGGGACTTTCACTTCTGGCTCATATTACAAACAAGCACAAATGCCTTATCTATGTTGGTTTCAAATTTATAGGCACATACAGTTGGCAGGGATAACTTTTTTAAACAGTTTTTTTTCCCGAACATGCAGGAGAACTGCGCATCATTTCATCAAGAAGGAAAAAGGAAACAAAGGGGAACAAATGCCCACACACAAACACAATCACACCAGGACACACACAACAAACTTAGCAAGACACTAAAAACACCCGTGACAAGAAACGAAAAAAACACCGCATCGAAGGCAGCAAGAGCCTTAGCAACAAAATAGATCAATGGTCTCTAGCAAGTGCCTTTTGCCCCTGCTGCGCTCACAAAATGCATTCATTGGTGATAGTCCGCAGTAAGAAAGGGATGCTTGGGCTAGTGCCATTAAAGACAGTAATTTCGGTGGTTCCAGGCAAGGTTACCTTAGGCACTAGGCGCTCTCTAGGCGGTGACCCTCTGCCTAGAGCATAAGCAAGCCTAGGTGTATTAAGGCGTTTTTCTAGGCGTTTTGAACAAATATATATATATATATATATATATATATATATATATATATATATATATATATATATATATATATATATATATATATATATTACATCTGGAAGAAAAGAATAAAGCAGAACAGTGGACTTAGATTGGAAAAAAGGCCCATCAAAGAGTCCAGCCCGCCTTACCCACTCCAACCTTGATACCTCCTCCCCAGCCGCACGCGCGCACTCGCCCCTCTCGCGCTCGTCGTCGTGCTCCTGCTCTGCCACAGATCAATCTAACGATCCAAACCATCCCTTCGACACTACAAAAACCACAGCTGTCAATAACATCTGGCTAAAAACTTTAGCTGCCGCCGATCTTTCATCGACCCACCATTGATAGATATATACATTAGGAAAGTGTATATTAGGCAAGTCTATATTTAGTATGATTAGCACCTGCCATGTATTGCATATATGCTGCCATGTAATTGGCTATATATATCAAGGTCACCCCCCCACATTGGGTGTGGTGTTTCCCTTCTATCTCTGCTATTCTACATGGTATCACAGACCAAGATCAATTAGATCCTGGACCTTCTACTTCCGCCTCCTTCCACCCCACCTCTTCCCTGGGCGCCCCTCCTCTGTGTGGCGAGATGTTTTCCAACGCCGATGCCTCGGCCGCAGCTGCTGCCGCTGCTGCTGCCGCAGCCGCTGCTGCACCACCACCGCCGCCAGCAGCCGTCGTTAAATCCACCCTACACCGCCGTGAACGTGAAGACTCACATTCCGGTTACCACGGAGATGAAGAATCCTAACTTCACCAAGTGGGCTTCGTTCTTCAAGGCCTTGTGGGAAATTCAGCCTTCGCCCCCACATCGACGGACCAGCCCCTCCATTGCCGATCCATCGTGGGACATTGCCGAGTGCATCGTGTCGCGGTTGGATCCTCAACACCGTCGACGACTTGGTTCTTGATCTTGCCATCACCGGCGAGAACCAGTCCGCCCATGAGCTGTGGGTGGCGATTGAGGGCCTCTTCCGTTCCAACCCGCGCGCCGGGCCGTCTTCACGCTTGAAGAGTTTCACTCCTTGAAAGCAGGGTGACTCGATTGATTGGCAATCTTGCCTGGCGCCTCAAGATCAAGGCCGCCGCTCTTGGGACGTCGGCCACACCATCGAGACTCCCAACTCGCCCTCGGCCTCCTACGCTGGCCTCAACCCACGCTTACATCGCCATCGCCGACGACATCGCCAACTCCCCCGAGCTGCCTTCCTTTTCCAGGGCGCGAGAAATGCTCTCCCTCAAAGAGCTGCGCCTCGCCAACGACGAGAAGACCACGGCTGCATCTGCCATGGTGGCCGCCTCTGGCTCTGCACTTCTTCTCGGTGCGGCCCTCCTCTCTCAGGGTACTGGGGCGCTGCTCCCAAGGGCTCTGGGGCGGCGGGAAAGGCAAGGGCAAAGCAAGCATGGTGGGTGGGCCAAGGCACCAGCCACTGGGTGGCAGTAGAAGCGTGGCGATGGATGACAAGGGCCCAACCGCCCCACAGGGCCCCGGTTCACTACAACCCATGGGCCTTCAGGCGGTGTTCCTCCTCCAGCCGCTTGGTGGCGGCAAGAGGCAATGACCCGGCCGTGGTGGCCCCCTCACAGTGACTGGGGCATCATGGGTGCCAATCCATGAGCCCACACGTCTTCACTCCCCCGCCTTGACTCCATCCGCTCCCATCAGGATCAGGCCGGCCTCATCGCCGCCTTGAACCGGATGGCGCTCGAACTCCATTTGGGTCATGGACTCGGCGCCACCACCCACATGCATAACTTCGGATGGTATACTCATCTCCGTCAACTCTCTTCTATCCCATCCATTCTTTGTTGGCGTGCCATCATCTTCCTGTCTCCCGCCCGTGAGCTCCACTTTACCGTGCCACGCGTCTCCTTTAAACCGCAATGTTCTAGTTGTCCCCTCTCTAGTGCGCAACTTACTTTCGGTTCGCCAATTCACTCGTGACAACAATTGCACTATCGAATTTGACGCTTTTGGCTTTTACATTAAGGACCCGCAGACTGACGCCGTGATTCTTCGCTCCAATAGCTCGACGGCCTCTACACCGTCCCCCGCCACGCCACAAGCCAACCTCGTCACCTCCACCGACCTATGGCATCATCGTCGGGTCATCCAGAGCTGCTGCCCTCCATTTGCTTAGACACAATAATTCCATTTCTGTAATAAATCAGCTCATACTCTTTGTCACTCATGTCAACTTGGCAAGCATGTGCGGCTGCCTTTTGGCAATTCCAGTTCCGTTTCCTCTTTACCTTTTGAGCTTATACACTGTGATGTTTGGACATCCCCGGTCGCTAGTATTTACGGTGCACAGACTACCTTGTCATCCTCGATGACTTCACCCCTTTTTTGGACCTTTCCCTAGTCCACAAGTCCGAGGTAGCTACTCACATCACTCAGTTTTGCGCCTTCGTCCACACACAGTTCAGCCTTCTGTCCAAATTCGTTTCAGCCGACAATGGCTTTGAATTTGTCAACAATACCCTCGCCACCTTCTTCGCCTCTAGCGGCATTCACTTACGCCTCTCCCCCTTACACCTCCCCTCAAAAGCAGCAAAATTTGAGCGTATCATCCGTTCTCCGAACAACATATGCCGTGACGTTTGCTCATCCACGCCCACATGCCACCCAAATATTGGGCGAGAGGCACTAGCTACAGCCACATATCTCCTCAACAGCGCCCTGCTCAGCCATTCACCATAGAGTTCCCTATGAGCAACTCTTCAAGCAGTCCCCAGACTACACTATTCTTCGTGTCTTCGGTTGCCTCTGCTATCCCAATCTCACCGCCACTTCCAAACACAAGCTGGCCCCTCGCTCCACAGCCTGTGTCTTTCTTGGATACCCCTCCTCTCACAAGGGTTATCGGTGTCTCGACCTCACAACTAGACGGATTA